TGAAAATTCCTAAAAGACCCATGTTGGCATTTAAGGGTTAAGTTGCACATTATTAAATATCTTAGTCACAGCATTATTTTAGGCATAAATTTTCTTACTGACTATAATGCCACATTGCACATTAAAGATAATTATTCATTCTATTCAACACAACACAAACGACATCGCAACATCTACCTCTACACAACACAACAAATATCCATTCCACGACACATGGAAACCACTTTTTACTCACAATCATTAAAGCCATTTAAAAACAATCAAACATGCATTCTTGAATAACTTATAATGTCAAATCAGCAATCACGAATTATTAATAAATTATTAAAAAACATACTCTTAAAACATACTCTTACTTTTAAAAAATTTATCGTTAGGTCATTCATCTATCCATGTTTCAACTACCCATCCATCAAACCACTATTACAAGATCAGTTTGCATTTCGCCCTACACGTTCATCTACATCCGCCATCATTTTTCTTACTTCCACAAAAACATCTTTCCTTAAAAATAATAATTATGCTCATCTCATTGCTCTTGACTTTTCTAAAGCTTTTGACACTCTCAATCACTTCTCACTTTCAAATAAGCTAACCTCTCTTTCTCTACCTGACAACATTTACAATATAATAAATTTTCTTTCTAATAGGAGTCATTCTACTTTCTTAAGCTCTACTTTTTCATCTACTCTACCTAATAACGTAGTTCAAGCTTCTGTCCTCCGACTATCTATCTTTATCATCAATGTTTTTACACTCAAAATTTTTTCATAGCTCTAATCACATCATCAAATACGCTGATGACACCTACTTTATTATGCCATCATCTAACTCAAACACCATCCAATCAGAACTCGACTCATTAACTACATGGTCAGAACAATGCAATCTGTCACTTAATCTCAATAAATCATTCGAACTCATCATTCACAACAGCCGTAAGAAAATAACATTACTTCCAGAACACCCATCAATCACTCGCACAAGTCAATTAAAAATATTAGGCACCTCCACACTTAATATAGCATCTCATATTAATCAAACATAACTATCAAGTCGCCACCCAATCTACATATCAGGAAAAGACCTTCATCACAAGACACCTCAAACATATTCACACTCAATAAAACTTTATCATTCACACAACTAGATTTTATTTATTGATCACCTCACTAACTCATTAAGTTATCATCTAGTCTATAAATTTGCCTTTTTATGCCATTACTTCATTTTATTGCCAATTTATTTTCTTTTATTTATTTATTATTAATTTTATTCTATTTTATTTTTTATGTTTAAACATTTTTCTTTCTCCGTTTATTTATTTACTTATTTGTTTAATTTCGTACTACTGCCTTGCATGCTGTAGCAGTTTCTGCGTCTGTCAGATCATGATTTTTAAAGAATAAAAAAAACAAAAACTTCAATTTATTGTTGTTTCTTATTGTTCATCATATTGTATTGTTTATTAATGTTTCAAATTGGAAAGTAATTATAAAACCACATACAAACACGTTTCCAATTGAACACATCATTCTTCCTAAGTTAAATGAAACAAGCAAACAAACACTAAACATTTTTAATTGAACGTAAAAATAATTTTATGGCAAAGCATATTAACAGTTATAGGCATAAGTGGGTAGCGGGAAACAACAAATATAATTTCTTTCCTCATCATTGCCGTCATCATCACTTCACTACCAAAGTTAACCGACAACATCATCTCACCACTTTGTTAGAAAGTTGCGATAACAAAATTAATGATTTAGGTCTGGAAATAGAAACGATTTTAGATTCGAAAGATGATAATGATCTATTGAATCAATCTTTTTACATGAATTCACCATTGAAATTGGTGACAAAACATTTAAAATACTTGAATTTTAGTTACTGGGAATGGTTATTGGTTATAAATGACTTTAAAAACTTTGAAGTTTTTTTTAAATAAACTAAAAATTAGAATAATTAACAAAATTAATATCAGTTAACAGATAAAATTTTATTATCTTTTAATTATGCTTTTATTTATTTTATAGAAATCTTTACACAAAATATATACTACCGAAAAAAGCTCATACCTACCACCAATTCTTTCGCAGATTTTTTATTAAAAAGCAAATTATTTATAAATACAATATTTAATGTAAATATTTGTTTTCATAGAATTTAAAATGGGACAAACTACTATTGTATGTTAGAACAAGCCTAATATATATATGTTTTTATTTTCACTTTCTCGTGCCTTATCCAACAATTAATGAAACTTATAATAATCTTAAATCAAAATCATTTAGAAACATCATTAAAAATACGGACCATAACAAAGTTACTGGCGATCAAATGCTCTTGTCAGAAGAGACGGTCATAAGAGATTGCTGTTTAATCAGTCCATGTTACAATCCAACGTCCAGGTTCGCTAACAATGTACAATCGGGCCAACCAATCAACGTAGTCAGAACATCATCAACAGTAATCATTTCGAATGAAGATCAACCAGATCACACGTCGTCACCCTTAATTCACGAAATTAGCAAACAGAAAAAATATCTGTAAGTGAAGATTATTATAATTGCAAATACAAATATACAAATAATTTATTCATAAAATCTTTTATGTCAGATATTTTTAAAGACTCTGAAATGTTTTTGTTGATTTAATTGCAAACTTTTTGATCCACATGACTTAAAATATCGGAATCATTGAAATTTTCTTTCTTCAAAATTTTGAATCTTAATTGTCGCGGCCTTATAAAAAAATTAAATGAGCTGATATGCTTAAAGATGACACTGAAGTTTTTTTGATGTTGTGACTGTGTGACATTTGGTAAAATGACAAAAATGAATCAGCTGTATTCTTTGATGGTTATGATTTTGTCAACAGAAATAGAGCTGAAAAAATCGGAGGAGGTGTGGCGGTCTTTATTAAAAGCTCTATAGAATTTTTAATTGAAGATGATTTAAATAAATCAATGTTGAATATAATGAAGTAGAATTGAACATCAGGTTGAAGAAAAAAAAGTGAGAAAACAGAAGATAGAGATAATACGGATAAATTGTTTAATAAAAAATTGAAGAAATTAATGATACAGCTTTACGGCCGACCAATTTGTCAGATTCATTTATTGAGTACATTGTAAAGAATAATCCAGAAAATATAAAAAATATAGAAAATTTAAAATTGGTATTTAAAGAAAAGGATGATGTCTATTACGGCAGAGGGCTCTCTCCTCTTTTATAGGAAATTGAATTTTAGAAAACATGGTTGGTATTTTTCGAAACTAGTAAGTGTGCTTATTGTTACCCTAGCAATCTTTCCAAAAAAAGGCTAAATGAATTACTGGCTTTCAAAATTTGAGATCAGTGGCAGTTATTTTATCAGACCATGAAATTTCAAAAGAACACACGTCATCCATGTGCACTCTGTACAAAAGATCGACTGCATTGAGTAGAATTGATGCTCAGCTTTTATAGGAAAAAGAGAAAGAAGAGAATTAGAGAGAAGTTTTAAAAATAATTGTTTCAACAGTACAGTCATTAAACCGCTTAGGACTAGGATTTCGCGGTCCAATAAAAAATTCTAGTAGAAAATGAAATTATTTGACCTGTCTGGAATATTTAAGTGAATATGATAAATTTTAAAAATTACATTTACAAAAATATGCAAACCAAGGTCTGGGTCATGCAAATTATTTATCTTTGTCATATTTGTGACGAATTTGTATGCTTCATCGGCAATCAAGTAAGGGCTGATATAACTGAAGAAATTAAACCTGCAACTTACTACCGTATTATTATTGACTCCACTCCGGATATTGCTCATATTGAGCAACTTTTATGATTAGATATGTTTTATTGATATTAACCGGTGACATAAATGGAGTTTTTGGAGTTCGTTCCTTCGTACATGGAATGAAAAATTTTGGAAACCCTAACAAAATCAGACCTGGATATTAAAAACTTTCGAGGTCAATCTTTTGACAACAGCTTCAAATATGTCAGGAAAGTGCTCAGGTTTACAAGCATTTATTAAAGAGCATAGTCCAAGTGCGGTTGTTATTCCTTGTACTAACCTAACCATTCATTGAATTTAGTTGGAAATTTTGCTGCAGAGCGCTGTAACACTCCTGCTCAATATTTTATGTTTCTGCAGAAGCTATTTACGTTTTCTCATTATCAACTCATCGCTGGAATTTGCTAAATAACAAAATAGATATTGTAGAGGATAAACAGTCTATTTCGTTAACAAGGGTGTCTGATATAAAATGGTCAGCAAGAGCTGACGCTGTTTTTGCTTTAAAACTAAAATATACAATAATAAAGAAAACGTTTAGTAACCTATCACAATAGTTGAAGCAACATCACTACTTAAAAAGTGAATAAATACGAAACCGCACTTGTGACTATTATTTGCAATTGTATTCTGCAAAAAATAAATTCTTCCAGTAAATCACTGCAATCAATAGAATGTGAATTATTTAAAGGAACAATCCAAATATAATCATTAGGCAGTTTTATCGATAATTTCAGAAATGATTATGAAAAAGTATTGAAAGAGGTAACTGAACTATCAGGATAACAATCTTTTAGTGAGGAAGATGAAATAACTTTCAACAGAAGAAAGAGAATTTCGTTTATTTATGAAAATAAAAAAGAATATAAATTTACAACTAGAGAGAATTTTAATATCAATACATTTTATGTCATAAGCGATAGCATTAAAACACATTCGTTACAGAGAGTACAAAAATATGAAGTTGTTTTGGAAACTTTTCGCATTTTTCTTGAATGGAATTTGTCGGAAGAAAAATAAGTTGAATCATTGAAAGAATTAAAAAATATGTACATGTATATGTTAAGAAATGACATTGATCAATGTTTGTAATTTCGAAGATGAACTAAATCATTTTTTTTAAGAAAAATGAGGACGCCATTAAAGAACGAGCCAGATAATTCAAAGATTTAGCATTTAAAAATATCTATAAAGCCGCCAAAGAAATACTTCCAAATATTGAAATATTATTGAAAATTTTTCTAACTATTCCTTTATCTAATGCATCTGGTGAAAGTTATTTTTCTGTTTTGAAGAGAATTAAAAATTATTCCAAGAGTACAATGGGAGATCAAAAATTAAGTAATTTAGCAATTATGTACATAGAACAAGAAACATTGAATCGTGTCGACACTGCAATAATTATTGATGAATTCGCAATAAGTAAAACAAGAAAGAAATTTATTTGAAAAAAATTTGTTTGTCGGATATTATTTTTAAATGATTTCTTGTAATCTCCTTTTTTAATTTTATTATTGCCGAACATTTAATTGTAAAAACTTTAAAATTTATAAATATTTTTGGCCATTGAACATTTGTAAAAATAATTCAATATGTATATCATCACCATCATCAGCGTTTACAGGAGTCACTCCCCATTTAGGACTTTTCCAGGGCCTAAGGCCTCGGTGCACAACACCCTTCTTGAGGCACACTCTTCAAACTTTTGTCGAGTGCCACTAAACTGCATCCACGCTGCCTTGCGTGCTTTTGGACAAACCGTTGCCAATGATGCAGCTAAGGTGGATTGAGATGGTCCACGGAGCACCAATCAAAAAATCATTAGATATTGTTTGAATCAATCGATTAACGGTTCATATTGATGGACCTGGGTTCACCCCCTCTTGGCATCAACAAAACACAGAAAACTATCGATAGAGCACAATGATTGGTTGTAATTCTTACACGTTGCTATACAAGACTGCTTTCAGGATTAATAGACTCTCCGACTCTAAAAATAAGTCAAGAGAAACCAGTAAGTGGTTTCAGAAAAAGGACATGATTGGTTCCTTACTGAGAAGGGGAAATGAGAAAAAAGAGACAAGAAAAAAACAGTATCGAGATATCTAGATGGCTTATAGAAAAAGCGTAGCTAGATAAGCTAGATAGAACAACTTGTGCTATCAGGTGAGTGGAAAATCCAAACAAACTACGCAGCCACGCAAGGTAATGAATTTAGGTTCTAAACCTTCGATAAAAGATCTATCTTTGGAATCTCGCTCCCTGGTCGGAAAGAACTAGTCCTAGAGAGTGGTCAGTGATAAACATCAAATATAGGGCCCGGGCAAAGATGGTATATGCAAAGTTTCACATGCTAAAATCCCTGCAAATGACTTAGCCTCTCACTTTAACTAAAGTTTGTAAACTGGTACCACCTACTAGCTCGTTTAGATCTGGAATCACTACATTCCTGCCGAAGGTCCGCGCGATTACAGGCCAATAACGGTTGGTGCACTTATGGCAATGGCTTTCCATTAGATTCTGGGCAAGCGTTGTAACTATAATTGGCTTCTATCACCGCGTCAGAAGACCAAAGACCTCAAGAATCTTTGGTCTTAATGTCTCTACGGTACTAGAAGAGTATATTTACTAATTATTATTATTATTGTATAAACAATATTAACCAGCATGGCAAAAAATTTCAATACTGTAAAATTCGTAAAAGAAAAATTTGTCACCTATTAAGATAATAATTGCCGCAATGAGAGTTGGATCGGCAGTACTTCATAAAAAGTTAGAGATAAAACGCGGTATCCTGTTTAAATGAAATTGATTTTAGTATATCATTTTGATTTTTAATATTGTATTTTGTAAATTCTTTATTATTAAAATTTTGACAATTTGCAAATTTTGTTAAAAATAATGACTTTAAAAATATTTAAAAAACTTGTGAGCAAAGTGAAAATAACAATTTAAAATTTTCAAAAAATTTCCTTCTAACATAATAATATCTTAATTATTTGGTGTCAGTTTTAGGATCTCAAAAAATTTAGCAACATAAACAAATAAAAATAAATATTACCATGGCCATTGCTAAAATTATTATTAACAATAATGATAATTCCATAAGTTGAAAACTAAAAAATTGAAAATACTAGTCAATATATAGAATTATTTTGAGAAATAGTGTAGAATTAAATATGACAATGAATAATAATCAATCAATCTTCGTTTAGCGTCCAGAGACCCCGTTTCCCGAGATAGGAAGTTGTTTTCTTTGTCATCAACCTTTTGCGCCAAATTAGATGATCAGTTGTATCTATTTCATTTAAATTTAAAGCTTTTATGTCTTGCCCGATTGTTTGCGACCGGGACTTCTTTGGACGGCCTTTGGGACGTGTGCCAGGTACTTCAACATCTGCAAGATAAGTTATAGCACTGTTTTCACTTCGTTTGACATGACCAAACCACCGCAGACGGTGTTGCCGGCATTCGTCTTTTATATCATCTAAACCAGCACGACGCAAGATTTCGATAGATTTGATGTGGTCCTTCAGACTAATTCGTTGCATTCATCGGAGCATTTTCATGTCGGTTCGTTGAAGTTGTTGTTCCAGTTTGGCTGTCATTGGCCATGTTTCTGCACCATATAACAAGACCGGACGTATTACAGATTTATAAAGTTTTGATCGTAGTGGTAGTGATAGCTCTAAATTTAAATGAAATGGATAAAACTGATCGCCTAATTTGGCGCAAAAAAATTGATGGCAAAGAAAACAACGTCCTACCTCGGGAGAACTGGGTCTCTGCACGCTAAACGATGATTGATTGATTGATAGAGGTCTGTCAAAAAAATATTGTGATGTCAGTCGTTCAAGAATTGCAAGAAATTAGCGTAGAAGTCAGAATGTTTATGATTTTTTTTTATTGTTAATAAATATGTTTTAATTTATGTTAATGGACAAAATTCTTTTGGACATTTAGGTGTTGTCTTTGGTGATGGACGGTTTGACAACAAACATTTCGATGAGCCGATTGTTAGGATGCATAATGACGTTACCCTATCCACTTCCATTTTTCTTTGTTAATGGACAACAAATCTTTATTTCACTTGATTCCTGCCACATGATAAAGTTGCTGAGAAATGCTTTTGAAAGTTTAAAATGTTTCAAAACTTGTGCAGGTTTGGTTGCGTATTATTATTAATTTGAATAGCGCCCCATGCATAGCTCTTGAGGGCTTGGATAAAAAAAAAACACTTATGTCGTTTCTGTATGTCTTTATAATCTTTAAAACATATATGTATATTATAATGAAAATTACTAACCCATTCAGGTGTTTTTGATTGGAATTACATAAGCCAGTTAAATGAACTGCAGTCTCTAGCAGGCCTAAAGCTTGCTAACAAGCTCAAACTAACAGGAAAGCACATAAATTTCCATAAACTGAAAATGAAAGTATGGTATTTGTTGGCTAAAAATAAAATGTATGAAAATTAATGTGTAATAAATTAATTATCTTGATAGGTTAATCTAGCTACTCAGACCCTAAGTCGCTCTGCAGCATTGGCCTTGCAGACCTTTAAGGATGCGGGACGTACAGAAATTCAAAATGTGGATACGACAGTGGAATTTATACTAGCCTCCAATAAAATTTTTGACCAATTTAATTAAAAAAATCCATATACAAAAGGACTGAAACAGGCAATAAATATCAACAACAAAAATGAAATAATTAAAAGATTAAATTATTGGAAGCAATATCTTTTGTCTGCAAAAACCTTGGATAGAAAACTTTTTTATCAAACGAAAAAGTTAGCATATTTTAAACCTACCAAATAATGTGTTATTAAATATGGTTTTTAATAGGTCAACATTTATACTTGGATTCGTATGTAATATCGTGGCTGATATTCAATGCTTACTTCTAAAATACAGGTAAAGGAGTTATACCAGATGAGAAATATTTTTATGCTATGCCTTCGCTGTATATTGATGATGGACCGAAACAAAATCATTTGAGCAGTCAGAGTATGATACAACATCCTGCAGTATTTGTTTTAATCATTATTTGTTTTATGAAAAATCCTTATAACTTGTGTCTTGTCATTATGCAGATTTAATTTAAATCAGAAAACTATAGTAAAGAATGGTTAGAGCCAGAATCAGGGGCATTTAATTGGAAAAAAAGACCAAAAAATATTATTAAACATGAAATTTCTTATCAGCCTCAAACTGCTGTACGACAGTATTTACTAGTAAATTTAGAATATCAAATGACAAAAGTGTGATTTCTGGTTTGGTCAGTCAGGAACGTCAAAGAATAGATAAAAATATAAAAAATTTTAAAAAGGATTAAAGATGTAACATTGTTTTTATCAAAGCAATGCTTGCCATTCAGAGGACACGAGAACAATGTATAGATGATAAGAATTTTTCAAACACTGGTAATTTTAGGGAATTATTGGTTTTGCTAGCAAAGTATGATTCTACCTTGGACAATCATTTGAAAAATGGAAAAAGAAATGAGCTGTACTTAAGTCATAATGCACAAAATGATCTAATTCAATCTCTTGCATCAGAAATACTATCTGCTATTGATGAAGAAGTTAAATCTGCAAAAAAAATTTCTTCAATCATTGATTCAACTATAGATTTATCCAGAATCGATCCGATGTCTGTTTCTTTACGATTTGTTCAAAAAACTGGTCATGTAGTAGAAAGATTTTTAAGATTTCAAAGCTTTGAAAACAATAATGCCGTAACATTTGCTGAAATAATTCTAAGGAAATTAGAAAAACCGAAACAAGGCATCACATCCCGGAAGAGGACAGGTTAATAATGGGCTTCGGAAATTAAAAGTGGCCTTTAACTCGAATTAAAACAATTTTTACTAGGTGCTATTTATTTCAATGGTGTGCTCATGGCTTGAAATTTAGGACTGTTGAAGCCATGGCAAGCAGTCCTGATGTACAGTTTGTTTTCGGGGACTCAAGAAAAGTTATATACATTTATAACTTAAGGTTACCACGCCTACCTATTCTTTCAGAGAATCAAAAAGTTAAATATGAATCAGCAGTAAATATTTTGAAAACGACTTCTGAAACCAGATGGGCAAGTAGAAAACATGCTGTTGATGCAGTTGTGGAATCATTTTCTGCTATGTTGGAAACTCTAGAATATATTAGAAGATATTAATTATGGAGAAAAAGATTATACAGGAAGTGTCCGAGCAGAAGCTGCTGGACTTTTTAGTTTGTTGACTAACTATTCTTTTGTTTTTCTGATGTTTTTTCTACAAATGGCTCCAGCTCTTCCTAATCTTTCCATTTTGTATAAAATATTCTTGACACTGCCAGTAACATTTTCTACAGCCGAAAGAAGTTTTAGTAAATTAAAAATTATTAAAAATTATTTATTATCAACGATGACCAATGAGAGACTATCTGGGTTATCATTAATTGCAATTGAACGACAACTTGCTGAAAATATTGACTTTGATTCAACCATAAATCGTTTTGCTACAATAAAATCAAGAAGAAGACCATTTATTTGAACTGACTTTTGTTTTAATTAATTATTTCTTAATATAGGTTTTTATTTTGAAAAAAAGCAATAAAAAAAACTTAATTCATTTTTATTCCGATAAATGTGTTACCCATTAAAATTTCAAAAAATCGCCCCTGTAAATATTACGCCGCTCCCCCGCGCTTCAAAACCTAAATCCGCCACTGGCCACGCGTTTGCAAATCGGTTCTAGGGACATTGCCGTGGCTTATCCCTCTGTTTGGAATAACCTTCCACCTATGTTAAGAAGATGGGAATTTTTCTGGATTTATTTAAAAAAGAACTAAAGACATTTTTAGTTTCTGTGAAATTGTAAAATTTGTTTCTTTGATTTTCGTTTTATGAAGTCATTTTGTTTTGTTTTTGAGAGAACGCTTATGAAATTGTTTAATTAGCGCTTAATAAATGTTTTTTAATAATAATAATAAGTAAGCATAACATTGATTCAAGTCATGGGTTATATAGCCATGGTTATTCATTAATTTCTTTAATTGCAAAAACTTATTATAACATAATTGTGTGCAGATTGACAAATTATGAACATAACAGAATAGGTCAACGACAGACATGGAACAATTCTATAATTTTTAAGAATTTATAACGACTAGAATAGATTGGATGGAGCTCTATGCTTACATTTTTCTTCTTTTATAACTAGTGTGAATTTTTATTATTTTATTTATTCAATCTTAAATGTATTCATCTCATTAGTTACATGTAAAACCATATTTTTAACTTATTTCACTCCAAATTAAGGTTATAGCAGTTATTGACATCTTATATCAAACATCACATTTTAATGTTTCATTAAAAAGAATATGTAAACTGTCTTGCCAAGGATGCATAAATTCAGTCACACCTTTTTTATTTTCGTCTTAGTTCAAAAATATTAGATATTGAAAAATATGTTAATTATGACATATCATCAAATATAAACATGCTATACATTGTTTCACAGGTAATGTAAATGAAAAAATTTTGCATACAACATACAAATATTGGTAAAATGTTTGAAATTTATAGAAAGCTCATTTCATTACTATTGATCTCGCAATGTAGTAGTTAAATTCATAATTTTAAAGTCAGTGACTTGCCCATGGATATTAATTTTTTAAAAATTGTTAAGATTAATTTTATAATTAAATCAAAATAAAATTAATGTTCAATGTTTTTTTCTAAACATTAACAATATGTTTATAAACAATTCAATTAAATTATAATGATTTAAAAAATTTGCATTGTTTATTTCAGCGTGAATTTTTCGCAAAGAACTTTGTAGATTAAAAGTGCATCTTTTTTTAATTTAATTTTTTTATTTTTAAAAATTGTACTTTCTTCTTCGAATTTCAATATGCATTTAATTAAAAAATAAAAACAAAATTTTCTAAAATTTTACTTTCACAAAAAAAGTTTTTTCTTATCCGATTATTTTCATTACTTTCGGCTGTTCATTTCCCATCCCTCTAACGACGCCATGATTATTACGAATCTATTTACCCATTATATTTATATACTATTTATATGTATATGTATATGTATATATATACATATGCATATCCCAATTGCAAAGTTAAGTTAAGAATAAATTATAAAAACGCCAAAACATCACACATGATAATCAAAAAAAACTGTCAACCTAACAACAATTCCCTCATGAAAAATAGTCATCTTATATATGAATTTTCCTGTCCCATTGGTAATTGTGTGCACCAAACTTCTTCATATATAGGAATGACCACCACACAACTTTCTCGTCGACTTACCATGCACAAAAGAGAGGGTGCGATCAAATCTCATAAAGAAACAACACATAATACAACATTAACACGTTCAATTCTCGACAATAACACAAATGTTCTTTACAAAAACTCGGATTTTTTCACCCTAAAGATAGAAAAAAAAATCCAAAATTAAATGTTCAGCTACATAGTATAACAGTACTTCCGATACACAAACATTTATCTAAACTAATTAATAATTCTCTCACCACCAATAACAACAATAACAACCACGTTACCACCACCCCCACCAACAACCATGTTACTACCAACAACAATGTTAACCATGTTAGAGATGCCAACGACCATGACAACAACACCAACAATAATGTTAATAATTGCAGCAACAAAAACAATACTAATGTTAACAACAACAACATTATCATTTTAATAACAACAACAATAACAACAGCAACAACAACAATAACAACAGCAGCAACAACAACAATAGTAATAATATAAATAATAATGATAATAACAATAACAATGATAATAATTAAAACTTGAAAAAATGAATATTTTAGTATGATTTTTGCTTTTTATTTTGTTGATTTTATGGTCCTGAGTATGACATAAAACTGCATCCACGCTGCCTTGCGTGCTTTTGAGCGAAAGGCTAGGCCCACCGCTTATAACTGGTGGTTGTCGTCAGGATAGGTGTCCGGATGTAAAAACTTTTCCCCAAATTATTTCTATGCCATCACAAAGAAAAACAACGGCCCCTAGTCCCCAGCAGGCCTTAAGTGGTCAAGGGGTGCCAAGAATCCCTGGGAAGTATGCAATAGCGGAGGGATGTTGCAGAAAAATTCAGAATGGCCCCTCTATGGTACTTAGACTTGGAACGCTCAATGTTGGATCACTGACTGGCCGCAGCATGGAAATCGCAGAAATGCTCGAGCGTAGAAGGATTGACATCTGCTGCTTTCAGGGAACCCGATGGAAATCGAATGGTGTCAGTCATGTCAACTCAGACAAAGAAAAATATAAACAATTCTGGAATGGTCAAAAGACGGCCAAAAATGGTGTTGGAATTTTTGTCAGAGAACCGCTAGCCCAAGAAGTACTGAATATTAAAAGGATTAATTCACGTCTCATGTGGATCAAGCTTCACATAAAAAAGCAAACAATGATTATTTTTTCTGCATACGCACCACAGACAGGCGAATCAGAAGAGATGAAAAATGACTTCTGGACTGCATTCTCTGACACCATCTCAACAATACCAAAATCTGAAACAATCCTGATTGGAGGCGATCTCAATGGCCACGTTCGAGAGAAAACAGATGGTTTTGACAACGTACATGGCGGTTTTGGCTATGGAAAACGGAATGAAGATGGCAACCGAATCCTTGAATTTGCTGAAAGTCACGGGTTTTGTTTACTGAATACATATTTTAGAAAGAGGTTGGAACATCTCATAACATACAAAAGTGGACCATCAGCCACGCAAATTGATTTCTTCGTTGTCAAGCAACAACACCAAAGGCTATTCAAAAACGTCAAAGTTATACCTGGCGAATCATGTGTCGCACAACATAGACTTCTTGTGGCAGACCTGGTTGTCGACCTGTCAAAACATAAGTCTAAACAAATGCCTCGGAGAATCAAAACGTGGAAGCTGAAAAGCAATGTTCATCGAGAAAAATTTCAACAGATTGTCGCCACACAGTTAGACCACCAATCGCAAGCTAGTACAGATTGGAGTAAATACAAAACCGTTTTGATAAACGCTGCAACTACAGTTTGTGGGAAAACTGGTACAAAACGTCAGCATGAACGGGACACTTGGTGGTGGAATGACAGTGTACAAAATGCAATAGCTGAAAAGAAAGCTGCATACAAGCAATGGCAAAAATCAAAGTCTGTTGATGACCATAAAATTTTCAGTGAGAAGAACAACTATGTAAGACGTCAAGTTGCACTGGCTCGGACAGATCAGTGCAGAGAGTGGCTCACTAAAAGCAAAGGTGAACAAATGAAATCTCTGTATCGTATAGCAAAACAAGCAAAGCGTACGAAAAAAGACATAGTTGGTGCTATCAAAAATGACAAAAATGAGATGGTTCTTTAACAAGATGAGATCAAGCTACAGTGGAGAGAATACTTCAACCGTCTGTTAAACGAAACAAATCCCATCAATGTTAACTTTGACGCTCCACCCATCGAAGGTCCGATTTCAGACATCACTGTAGAGGAGCTTACAGAAGGTCTGAAAGCTATGAAGGATGGAAAGGCAGCAGGGCCCTTTGGACTCACAAATGACATTATCAAAGCATCTGGTACTGCAGGTATCCAAACGTTACTACAACTTTGCCGTGAAATTTGGAGAAATTGCTCAATGCCGGCTGAATGGAACTATAGCATGACAGTCCCGCTATACAAAGGCAAAGGTGATCCACTGAACTGTTCGTCATATCGGGGTATACGTCTGTTAGAACACTCCCTGAAAATTGTCGAGAAAATCATTGAGAGAAGATTAACGTCGTGCATCACAATCGGAAATTATCAATTTGGTTTCCTAGCGGGGAAATCAACAATTGATGCAATTCACATCCTTCGGCAACTGCAAGAAAAGTACCTCGCAAAGCATCAACTACTATCACACATTTTTTTAGATCTTGAAAAAGCATTTGATCGAGTTCCCCGTGAAGCAATCAGGTGGAGTCTACGTCGACAACTCATTCCAGAATATCTTGTTCGACTTGTGATGGAAATGTATACGAATACTAAGACTCTTGTCAGCACAACGGTTGGAAACACAGATGCATTTGACATCGGCGTTGGAGTTCACCAAGGCTCGATTCTCAGTCCACTGTTATTTATAACTGTGATGGAAGAAATCACAAAACCGATACGCACTGGTGACATTTGGAATCTAGTATATGCTAATGATATCGTTTTAACAGTCACGTCTGAGCAGAATGCAGCCCAGATGTTTGAATATTGGAACACCAGACTCGCCGATCATGGATTCAAAGTCAACATCAGCAAAACCAAAGCAATGAACACTGGTGAACCCATCCAATCCACAGCTACTGGACGATGGCCCTGTTCAGTTTGTAAAGCTGGTGTAGGTAACAATTCAATCAAGTGTCAGCAGTGTAACCAGTGGTGTAACAAACGTTGTTCAAAAATAATTGGTACTTTATCTAAAGTGTCCAATTTTTTTTGTCCTGCTTGCATCAATCCACAACAACAAATTCGAAATAGCACTGTTTTTGAAGCCATTAAAATAGAGAAAGTCACATCGTTTCAATATCTAGTGGATGTTCTGGATTGTACTGGAACAGCTGAAGCTGCCGTTCGAGCACGCATATATATCTATGTAAATAATTTAAAGTTAATATTATCAATATGTTAAATATATAGTATATAATAATTAATAACAATATTTTCAAAAATGTTTCGCGCTTAAAATTAAGTTATACTGTATGACGTCATTTGTTTATAAACTGTAATTTTCGTTATTATTCAAAAATATTTTGCAATGACGATGATATATTTTATATCGAAAAAGCTTTTTGCAATTATTTATATTAATAAACATGAACAATAATAATTTTAGTTTTTTACTTAATAAATTAAACAATTATAATAAAATTTTAATTATAAAACTTGAAAAATTAATGTATAAACATAATAATTGTATCAACGCGGTTGATTTTCTTGAAAACTGTATATATATATATATATATATATATATATATATATATATATATATATATATGTTCGGTTGAAGATTACACCCCATTTTGCAGTTAGAAGTTTTTTAAATAAAATTTCAACACGAAGCTGTTTTGTTTCAACTTTATTAAACCGTGAAGTTTGGCTGACGGCCGTTTCGGCTAACGCCATCGTCGGAGCCTAGATTGTAAAACCAAATGAGGAGTTAATAATATAAATTATAAGAAATAGAAAATAGAATAATAGATATTAAAATGAATAAATAAATGAATATTTGATACGTGTCATCAACTTTGATAATTCATTAATTCATTCCACAGTCAGTTACAGGCCGAGGCGCATCGACACCGTTATACACCAACAAAACATACAATAGAGCCCATCATGTTTCACGCTGCCAAACAACTACGTCAAAATAAGGCTATCACCATACGTAAATCTGACAAGTCCAACACATACGTTATCCTTAATAGGTCCGACTATCTTCATCAAATTAATAACATCCTCTCTGATAGTACAAAATTTTCACCAATTAATAAAGACCCCACATCCGATATCAAAACAGACACTAATAAATTGATTGCACAAATCAACCTCAGCTCGTCCAACGTCAAACTAACACCAATCGTTGTTGAATACTCTCCAGGATATATTTATGGTAATGTAAAAATACACAAACCTAACAACCCACTACGCCCCATCATCTCTCAATGCCCAACTCCAACCTACCAGTTAGCTAAAACTATCAATCAACTTCTCTTGCCATACGTACCCCGTAACTTTTCCGTTAAATCAAGTTATGAATTTGCCGACATCATCCATAGCCATAAAGATACCACAGGACACTTGTCGTCGTTGGACGTTGAAAGCCTTTTTACCAACATACCAGTCCTGCAAACTATTGAAATTATCTGCCAATATGTATACAACCACCCTTCTCTTCCTCAACTCGACATTCCTCCTCATTTACTTAAAGAGCTCCTCCAACTTTACCATACGCAATCCATTTGTCGCCCCAAATAACTCACTGTATCTACAAATAGACGGCATAGCCATGGGTTCCCCATTAGGTCCTCTCTTCGCTGAGTTCTACATGGGTAATCTAGAATCTAAGATATTTTCCGATCCAGAAAACAAACCGCTTATCTACGCCCGCTACGTCGACGATATATTTATCATCACAAAGTCTATAGCTGACATATATCAACTCCAAAACCTGTTCCAGAACAACTCTTGCTTATCATTTACAATTGAAGTTAGTAACAATAATAAAATCTCTTTCCTTGACACTTTAGTCACCATGCACGCAAATCAGCTCTCTACCCAAGCATACGTCAAACCAACAAACTCTGGACAATGCTTAAACTACAATTCCGATTGTCCCGTCAAATACAAAAACAACGTCATTAAAAACTTCATCACACGCGCTTTTAAATTATCTAACGACGATGAATCTCTTCATATAGAAATTCAAAGAATCAAACAGTTACTTATTAATAATAATTATCCAAATACACTCATCGACGACGTCATATCTAAATCTCTCAAGAAATTCAAACAACCACTTCTACAACCACAGCACGAACAACAAACAATACCTATCTACTACAAAAATCGAATGCATAATAACTATCTTATTGATGAAAAACAAATTAAACAAATCATTAGATCAAATCTCACATCAGAAGATGAAAATAAAAAGATCAAGTTAATAATATATTATGATACAACAAAAACACAACAATTAGTCATCAAAAACAGTCCAGCCACTACAAAAGATAATCTAGATAGTACGAACGTCGTGTACCAATTTCGATGCCCTTTGCCACACCGTGATGTGGAAACAATTGGACACACACGTACAACACTTCGCAGACGCCTTACCATGCATGTACAGCCAGGCGCTATCAAGGATCACTTCAATAAGCAGCACAACATACCAGTTACTCGAAAAATTCTTGATAATAACACTAGCATACTTTGTAATGAACGTCGTCCCTCAAGACTCAAA